CCTCCTATCTACTCACACACGTGCAAAATTTTAATCTGTTTGGTTGTCTTCAAACTTTTTATGTTCCCCCAAAGAATTATTAATATTTTCCATGTTTTTAAAACAAAAATTCAAGACTTTATATGGATTTCACCCATTTTTCATTAATACCCTCTTTTTGTTACAATGCATTTAGTTGTCTTATCTCCCCAGTCTCAAAGGCTGTTTTTCACTTACACTCAGGAGATACTTGTTTAAGGACTGTCATTTGTATAAACTTAAGCAAAAACTTTAACTTCTCTGATCCTCAGGTCTGTTTGCTATAGAATGAGGAAATACCACTATCTGAGAATATCTAATAAGATAACAATATGAAAGGGTCTTATAAACTATTTTCATACTGGGAGTATATATTTGCTTAATGTGTATTATTCGCAAGCTAGTCAAGGATCAGAAATGTCTTCTCTTATAAAATGTCCAGAGAGAATTAAAATTATCTTCCCCATCCCCACACCCCACCAAATATACAACTTCATCTTTATATTTACATGGAGAACCCAAAGACTCTTGACATGTTCATAAAGGACTTACATATAGTAAGATGCTTGAGAAGCTCTAAGGAAAAAATCATAATGTAAGACTAAAGAAATGATAATATAAAATTTATTTAATGTTCTAATCTTATTAATAAAAGTCATATAATTCTTTTTTTTTGAGACAGAGTCTTGCTCTGTCACCTAAGCTGGAGTGCAAGGGCATGATCTCAGCTTATTGCAACCTCCACCTCCCAGGTTCAAGCAATTCTCTTGACTCAGCCTCCTGAGTAGCTGGGATTACAGGCACGTGCCACCACACAAAGGTAATTTTTGTATTTTTGGTATAGGAGGGGTTTCGCCATGTTGGCCAGGCTGGTCTTGAATGCCTGATCTCAGGTGATCTGCCCACCTTGGCCTCCCAAAGTGCTGGGATTACAGGCACGAGCCACCACGCTCAGCTGTCCATGTAACAGTTAATAAGGGAGAAATTTAAGCCAATTTCTAATTCCTTAATATCTACTACCATTTCTACTTCTTATTTGTTTTTTCGTTCATCTATTTAATTTTTACATTTTAGAAATAATCTGAAAACAGGCTTGAAAACTGAGCATTATAAAGAGAATGAACGATAACATGGAATTAACAACATGAGCATCCCATTTAAATTTTATAATATATATAAAGAAAAAAGACCAAAAAAATAAAAGAAAAAGAAAAAAGAAAAATAAATAACTTTTATAATATAATTCTATAAACAATAAAAATTACATTCTCTGATATCCATGGACAATGAGCAAAAATTTTCTTAGCTATAAATTTAAGCACCACTTTTCTTAAAACTTAGTGAAAAATTATAAGCCAACCTTTTAAATTTGGTAACAGGAAACTCAGCCAGTAACACTTTAACAAAGTGTAGTATGTAAGATTTTAATAAATATTTTTGTTTGGGCTTTAATGCTACTAGGTTTGTTTGGTTTTTTTTTGTTTTTTTTTTTTTACAAACATCCTAGTAGGATTCAACCACTGAGAATTATATTAAATACTGACTCTTAACTACCAGCTAGATTCTAACAGGACCTCAAGACAAAGACATCTTTTAGGACAAAGCATGAGCTCATGGGAACGTACTAATTTATCTGATATAGCACAGTGCCCTACTTCTTAGTAGCAAGACCTTTCCCTTGCTCTATACACATTACACCCATTGATAATCATGGGAGCCTGACGCAGGAAAGAAGCACCATGTGGCCTCTTGGAAGGGAAAAATTTATGTCTGCTTTTGAATGTTGTTTGCCACCTGGCAGCCAGCCAATCCAATATAAACATCCCCATTCATAAAGCACTGGATAATTCCTTGTCTTCAGTAAATTCCAGTCTTTTGAAAAGGTCAAATTCAATTTGAGAAATGGGAAATCATTATACTTTAAGAAGGCCCAGAACATAGCATACATTAAAAGACAGTACAGTACTGACAAATAATCCAAAATACGTAGCTGAGATAAAAATCTACACAATAACAGCTGCCATTTGGGGGCTGTTTTTAATGTGTTAAGCATTGAGCTAAACGCTTTACATAAATCATCCAATTTGATTCTCGCAAAAATCAGGTAAATGGACATTATCCATATTTTGCAGGTGAGGAAAGTCAATCTTAGAGAGGTTAACTGGCAGAACCAAGATTGTAAAACCCTTGGGCTCCTAAAACACTATAGCATACCTACCATTAACTCTAGAACAAGGGCAACCATATTAGCCAAGTGTTTGGATATAGCCTACTCCTTGGGAAATCACTTTTTAAATTTATGCTGCAATCTTACTTGATACTTTGCTTAGTTTTCTATAGGTAGTGGTTTTTTCTTTCTTAATATCTATAGTAGTGACACTATTGATTAAATACACCCTCAGATTCTTAAGTGTTAAGAAGACTGAAAATATGAAAAAGAAAAATAGGATAACCTTTAACAGAACAAGGTGAGTACAAGCATCTTCCATTTAACCTAACCACCACCATTTTCTTTTGATATAATTATCAAACTTTTCATGCAATCATTTTCTGCACAGTCAGAGGCAGAGCTCCATTTCAGTAAGAAAGATATGAGGAGACACTTTTCCAACTCCCACAACCCCGAATATGAATCTTACAGGCACCAAGCTGGTTAACAAAGTCAACTCCCATCCTGACAGACCAAGAGCTCAAATACTTCAATACTGTGGTGACCCTGACCTTTTACATTATTCTAAGATGCCTTACATTAAAGCTTAAACAATTCCCGAAGAGCCAGTGCCACAGGAATTTCTACAGTTCATGGAAAAATCTGAAAAGCACAGATAACAATTTCTTTGTAACCAAATCTCCAAAAATGGGAATTACAGTGCTAGAAATGAAGGCAGCTTTCCCATCAGATAAATGAAAGCAAAGAACAAAGGTCAAGGGTCATGACATCATTTCACTGAATCTAAAGTCCTCAATACCAAACATGTGACCAAATTCAGTCTTCCAAACTGTTGACAATTTAGCTGGGTATCTTTACTGTGTAAATCTGAATATACTGTTTAAATCATAGATTTCATTTACAAAATCAAACTACCAAGATGCAGGATACACTAAGGTGTGTATATTACATAATTAGTAAAACACCCCAATGGCTCCAACTACAATTAGATTTTTCCCGTAAGGATTGAATGCGTGGTAATCAGACAGATCATCTGTGACTCCACAATCAGAAGGATTTAGACAATTTCCAAATCTGAAAACCAGGTTATTGCAATGACTTTGAAATACAGTTCTAGGAAAATATGTCATTAAATAAGACTAAAAATAAATGCTAAAAAATTTTAAGATAATTATGACCCTAGTTTCACAGAGATAACTGTTTTGATATTATTTAAATTTATTATTGATACTATATACTGATTTAAAGAGAAAGAAATAACATGAAATATTATATTGCTTGCTCCAAGGAAATCTTAATATATCTTAGTCTTTTTTTGACAATTCAAATCTGCTGAAGCTCAATACAGAGTTACCTAAAATTCCACCGCAATAGTACATTTTTTTAAGACCACATCTTAGAAGAGACAATGCTGTAACGACCATATTAAAGCAGTTCCATTAAATACATTTCCACAGAGGAAATGTACATAACTGTATTAAACCAAACTGTAATCCTCCCCAGATCTTGTTAGGGTAAGCCTTTATTCTGTTGATAATAATTATCAGTAATCCCTTACAAACAAGAACACTTCTCACTCATGACTGATTCATAAAAAGTAGAATCAGCGAGTTTTGCTACTGTAGTGTCATTTCAAGCTGAGGCTGCTTAAGTGATTTTGAATTCACTTTACAAGAAGTAAAAGTTATATGCCTTTTAATTCTGAATTCTTTGTTAAATTTCCTTTAGGGCACAAAATTATGACTGTTTTGATTATATAAAGACCATTTCCATATTTTAAATTTCATATTTATTTTTAAACATTTAAATATATACTTATTCTACAAATCATCATTTATTCATTAATATTACTCAGATTATTTCTGTCTTTTAAAACAAGGTCTAAACAACTGACAGAGTTCTTAAGCTAACTTGATACGTAATTCATAAATCATGAACATGATGCAGTTTCTAAGAAAACTGAATCATCTGGGACTGGGGAAACAAATGATGCAGCCAAGAGTTTTGATTTCCTATGTGGCTGTCAGCAAAACAAATACCTTCCTTATGATTGAGTTAGTTTATGTAGAAACAAGGTAAAATACAAGGTCTTTAGAAAATCACATTCACTATTGGAAGACAAAATTTCCATGTTATCTTAAAAAATAAAACAGAACTTACTATTACCCCAAATTTTAAATTAATATCACCATGGAGTCAAAAATACTATCCCAGAACTACTACAGTAGTTATACCAGCTCTTAAGTAAAAACAAGCAGATTCACATTTTGGGGCGGGGGGCGGAACCCTTCAGTATTTCCTAGTTAAGCAGAATGATTAAATAACAAAACAACTGGTTAAACCATCAATTTGGCTAAATTACTTTTATTGAATAAAGCAAGCATGAGATGTCACTCTTCAAAGAACTAGAATAAGCTGCTAACATGTATTATCTACCACGTGCCTACAGGCACAATTCTAAGAGCATAACTCAAATTAATCCTCAAAACAGATAAATATTCCCATTTCGGAGATATGGAAATTGATGGACAGATGAGATACATGCTTTGCCCAGATTTAAACAGTTGGGAAGTGGCATATTTTGTTCTAAAACCAATATCGAATATAATGTAATGATAATTTGATGATTCAGAAAAGAGTAGAATATTTAGTCCCAAATACAGACTCTTTCTGAAGTTAAATCATGACTGTACAAAAATGCAGACACCACATAGACACAGATGTCCCAAATCCCTCCATGAGAAATCGCTTTGATTTCCCTGAAGGACCCTGAGAGTGCTGACTCGAAAACCTCATCAGGACGGGGATAGTGACAAAGTTCTGATTTCAAAACAATGGACTTTCTGAATCCATCTAAGACTAACAGTGTAACAACAATCTGATTTAGTCAATAGCAAATTATTTTCAAATCTCATCTTCTAAAAAATTTTTTTTTTTTTTTTAATTTTTAAAACCAGAATATTTATTGCATGACTAAATCGGTGAAATTCTTAAGATGAACTGGATGCTGCAACAGCTGCCCTCTTGGGTTTAGGTGTTGTTCCTTCACGGAATCCATGCCCGAATCTGCGGTATACAATTTTTAGATGCCTCATTCGACCAGTCCCGGTAGTATTTCGTCTTTTAGCCTTGGCACTCCAGTTATTCTTTCTCTTGCGCTTGGCGGGGTAGCCACATTTGCCGCAAGTCGACTTCTGAAGGTGGTAGGCCTTAGAGCCGCAGCGGCGGCACAACATGTGCATCTTATTACGACGCTTCCCAAACAATGACGTTCCCTTCGTCATCCTGCTTCTGCGACAGGGACCAGAAAGCTAAAAAGTTTTAAATAGAAATCCTGTTTTCTCCCCCACTTTCCCATAAATGAGGAAAAAATTTAAAATACATATTCTGTGTAGCACTTTAAGTTATTTTAATAAACTTAAGTTATGCCCAATCTACAAAATACTCAAGTGGAAAATGGGGTGATTATGAGCTAGCCCAAAACTCTGAAAATTAAACTCATAAACACATAGTAGGAGAGATTCAGACAGTGACAGACAAAAAGTTAGAGCAAACTTTTCCAAGCAATATTGGAAAAATCAAAGGAAGACTGAACTAAATGCAAAGGAAAGCTGTGGCCTAATCAATGGTATTAACATAATCCAAAGGAATAATGTGTAAACAGCTACAGCTGGAGACTGGCCGTGTGGCATAGAGAAAAGACAGCCCCTAGGAGCAAGCGTTTGGCAGTGTTCATCAGCGATGCTGACCATAAAGGGAGCCCTGAGCAGCTGCTACTAACCATCTGATTGTGGGTAAGAATAACTATTTGGCAGACGTGGGTGCAACAGGCCATCATTACTTGATGGTAAAGATGACAATGATGATAATCATAACAACTACTAACTTGGATTGCGCAGTAAACTTTTTGCCAGGCGTAACATTAGGCCTTTAACATACATCAATTCACTTAACCCTTAGACAAAATCAATGAGATATTACCCCTATTTTATAGACAAGGAAGAAGAGGCTCAGAGAAGCTAAGAAACTTGCCCAAGGTCACTTCATAAGTGGCAGAACCATGATTTGAACCCAGAGATGAGTCTATATAATATACCTATAACTGTATATAATATACCTGTAGAGATGGCTGAGAGAAATTTAAAGGAAACCTAAATATATACTTTGTTCACAGATTAAATGACTCAATATTATTACTTGTGAATTTCTCCCCAAATGATTTTTCTTTCTTTTTTTTTTTTTTTTTTTGAGATAGGGTCTTCCCTTGCTCTGTCCCCCAGGCTGGAGTGCAAGTGGCAGAATCTCAGCTCACTGCAACCTCCACTTCCCAGGCTCAAGCAGTTCCCCATCACCTCAGCCTCCCAAATAGCCGGGACTACAGATGAGTGTTTTTTGTAGAGACAGGGTTTTGCCATGTTGTCCAGATTAGTCTTGAACTACTGGGCTCAAGCGATCCACTCACGTTGGCATCCCAAAGTGTTGGGATTACAGGTGTAAGCCACTGCGTCCAGCCTCCCAACTGATCTTTAGACTCGACACAAATATAGTCAAAATCATGGCAAATATTTTTATAGAAACTGATAAAAAAAAAACTGATTTTAAAATTTACATGGAAATATAAAGGAATAGACTGGCCAAAACAATTATGTAAAAGGACAAAACGGGACTCACATTATCTGATTGCAACATTTAAAGCTACCATCATCAAGATGGTGTGGTAATAGCATAAAATTAAACACATGAATCAATGGAACTGAATAGGGTCCAGACAGACCCAGCAATATAAGGTCAACAGATTCTTAACAGAGGTGCCAAGGTAAATCAGTGGAAGAAAGGACAGTCTTTTCAACAAATAGTGCTGGAACAAGTAGACATTCATACATAACTAACATATGTACCTAGCGTCACATACAAAAGTTAATTCAAAACAGAGGATAATCCTAAATGTAAGGGATAAAACCACAAAACTTCTAGAAAAAAATGTAGGTGCATATCTTTATAATCTTGGGTTAGGCAACAACTTCTTAGAGATGACGTCAAAAGTATGAACCACAAAAGAAAAAAACTGGTAAGCTGGACTTCATCCAAACAAAACTTTTTGCTGGTCAAAATACAATCCCTATGCTCCCATTTCCATGCACACTATGGCTTCTCATACAGCTTTTCTAATAGAAAAAAAATGCACTAGTCTTCTATCCAACATGAATGTCCAAACTACCTGGCTGTTGTATTCTTTTCATTATATGTTAATAAACTGAAGTTCCGGTTTACACATCAGGTAACTCGCTGTTTGTTTACCTAGAAAGGGCGAGTCTCCCTGGGCTAAGAACCAGACCCTGAGGTATGATGACTTCATCCAAGTTACACCTCAATGACTTCTGGGCCACATACCCAGGCCCTAATGAAGTCCGGCAACTGTTTGTTATGGTTTCTTGTGAAAAACAGTATTTTGTTAAAAAAAAAATTGACTGAAATTGTCCATGCTGCTACTTTTTTCTCAAAAATACAAAAGTCTATAGGAATAGTTAATATTTGTTATTAAACACTCCAGCAAAAAGTCTGAGAACAAAAAGGGTTCAGAGACATGAATGGTTTGAAATAAAAATGTACCACAGTAATTCATTAAAAAAACCTAATACAGTGGGGAAAAAATGTAAAATTCATGTTTTCTATTCTCATTTTTAAAGTCATGGAGAAGAAAGGGCAAAAAATGATCTACCATTTACTTAACATATTGTGATTATTTCCTAAATGAAAATAATAAAATTATCCACAATTGAGTTAAACCAACATTTCTTTAATAAACTATAGACATAGCTACTTAGGTTCAGCATAAAGTATCATTCTATTTACTAATTGCTATTCAAATTAAATTTGATTTCCCACGACTAGTAAGATGTATTCTACAATTTGTTTTCCTATAGTAAGCTTCAACTGAGAGGTTAAAATACATGAACCAGTGATACTTTTATAATCAGCAGATGGAGCACAAGCTAATAATAGAAATTAGACAACATTTCCTCCCACCTGCTGGTATTCTGTATTTATCAGTCAGTGATAACCAGTAAATTGTGAATAATGGCTAGTGGGCAAATTTGTCGCGTGGGCCTGGTTTAAGTCTGGCTTATACTGGACTGCCTAATGTGAATCCCATAGGGCTGTGCAGACTCCCTAATCACCCATGCTGCCCTCCATGGTCGGCTGCAATGTCAAATCACTCAGCATCTGATGGCAAAGGGAACAGCTGGGAGGCAGGATAGTGTGAGGACTCTCTACACTACCGGCTCACTTCTCCCAAACCTCCCCACCCTCTCTTGAAAGGCACTCATCCCTCTTCTGCCCTACAATTTGCTTCCTGGTACTCTCCTTAAGCTTCCAAGATACTACCACACCCCAAATTCCTTCTCTCTCTCCCACTCTAAAGTCAATCCCCTCAGTCACAAGTATTCAAGGAATGGGCCTGGTATCAGGGAACAATTCTCAGCTGCCCCTCCCTGAGGCATAACTTCTGAATGCTCCAAGCATCTTTTTCTGTTAGGGCATCAGTCAGGGTGCTATCTAGAGTCTCAAGGGGTATACAAAACTTTCGAACACCATCAGCAACCTTATTTCACAATCTAACCATTTGAGTGGTAGCATAAATTAAATTTCATAATGAATACTGCCATCTTACAATGATTATATTTTTATATAGTCAAACATTAGAAACCAAAGAAACTAGAGCCTGCCAGGAGAACTGCTTGAACCCCGGAGGCAGAGGCTGCAGTGAGCCGAGGTCATGTCACTGCACTCTAGCCTGGCGCCTGGTGACAGAGTGAGACTCTGTCTCAGGAAAAAAAAGAAAAAGAAATTAGAGCCTGCAATATACTATCCCTCATAATTCTACTTGAAAGAAAACATGCAAAGCATTAAAATATTTAATAAATCATTGACTGGCGCTTGCACACATTTAATTTAATCTCCCACCTTCCACACAGATCACTGATAAAATCGTAGTAAACATAACTATTCATGATTCACTCTGTGGCAAGATACTCAATAAAGCTTAATTATGCTTATCACCTTGAACTAGGACAAGAAAAGAAACTGATATATTTCAGACAGATTTTCAATCACAAGAGCATAACTTTTAAATAATCTTTCTGCTTCATTTTCTCCTAAGAAATGATACGAACAATTTAAATTTTGATATGCAAATGTTTAGGAATTTTAAATATAGCATTTTTACTTATCAGTATTACTTTACTTTGTTATTTTTGTCTTCTAGTAGCACTAAATGTTTTAGCCTATAAAAAAATAAAAGGATGACAACCTGTACTTTCAGTAAACAGATAAAGAGTACATTTTAGTTATAATGTTAATATATTTATGGGCCAGCTGCAGTGGCTCACACCTGTAATCCCAGCACTTTGGGAGCCCAAGGTAGAGGAATGCTTCAAGCCAGAAGTTTGAGATCAGCCTGGACAAAACAGCAAGACTCAATCTCTACAAAAATTTTAAAAATTAGCCAGGCATGGTGGCAAGTTGCAGCTTCTTGGGAGGCTGAGATGGAGAGATCGCTTGAGTCCAGGAGTTTAAGGCTGCAGTGAGCTATGACTGTGCCACTGCAATCCAGTTTGGGTGACAGAGCATGACACCAATCTCTTAAAAAATATATGTATCAAGCCTGTAATCCCAGCACTTTGGGAGGCCAAGGCATGCAGATCACGAGGTCAGGAGTTCGAGACCAGCCTGATCAACATAGATGAAACCGGGACTCCATTAAAAATACAAAAATTAGCCGGGTGTGGTGGCGTGTGCCTGTTATCCCAGTACTCAGAAGGCTGAGGCAGGAATCACTTGAACCCAGGAAGCAGAGGTTGCAATGAGCTGAGATCGGACCACAGCACTCCAGCCTGGGCAACAGAGCAAGACTCCGTCTCAAAAAAATATGTATGTATTATATTAATATACAACATGCTACCACCCTTCCAGAAATGGTGGCATTTTATAGCAATACACTGAGGCTACGTCAGCTATTCATAACACACCCAACTATAAACATGTTAATTCTAAGGAGTTTCTTGTTCAACCATGTGTAAAAATTTGCATATTCTATGTAAAAAATACATGTTCTTACCTTTTAAGAACCTAATAATTTGCAAATCCCCTTCTGAAATATGTGATCATTCATATAATGTTAAAGCAGTAAGGGACATCAGATGTAACAATGCAAACTACACATCAGATACACTAAATTCCCACCATTCCTACCAAAATTAAAAGGCAAGTGATTTGCTCAAGGTCTCATAGCAAAAAAAAAAAAAAAAAAAGCAGCATCAGGATAACTCTAGGTATCCTGACTCCAAGTGTGTTTTATTCCTCCTGCTACATCATGTTGTCTTCATTTAAAAAAAAAAAAAATAAATAACCAAGATACAGCCTCCTTTCAGGCTGGAACACCTAAGGTTTCCAAGGAGTTCTGACCAGCAAAAAGCCTGAGAGAAAAAAAGAACAGGAAGCTGGGTATGGTGACTCTTACCTATTATACCAGCACTCTGGGAGGCAGAGGCAGGAGGATCACTTAAGTCCAGGAGTTTAAAACCAGCCTGGGCAACATAGTGAGATCCTCATTTCTACAAAAACTACAAAAATTAGCCAGGTATGGTGGCATGCGCCCATAGTCCCAGCTACTTGGGAGGCTGAGGTGTGAGGATCATTTGAGCCTGGGAGGTCAAGGCTGCAGTGACCTGTGACTGTGCCACTGCACTCCAGCCTGGGCAACAGAGCGAGACCCTGTCTCAAAAATAAATAAATTAATTAAAAGACCAGGTGTGGTGGCTCACATCTGTAATCCTCACACTTTGGGAGGCCGAGGCGGGTGGATTACCTAAGTTCAGGAGTTCAAGACCAGGCTGGCCAACATGTTGAAACCCCAGATCCCCATTTCTACAAAAACTACAAAATTAGCCAGCTACTTGGGAGGCTGAGGTAGAAGAACTGCTTGAACCCAGGAGGCAGAAGTTGCAGTGAGCTGAGATCATACCACTGCACTCCAGCCTGGGTGACAGAGTGAGACTTGTCTCAAAAACAACAACAACAAAAGGTAGGATGGGGAGCATGTTCCCAGCCCCAAACTGAGGGATGAAGCAGGAGGTACTAGGCCCCTGACAGTGGAGAAAAGAATAAGCCAGGAAAGTCTCTTGGCTGACACCAGGGAGGGATCCAGAGAAAAGCCAGGTCCTCTCCCCATGCTACCAGAAGGAAGTGTGCCATGGATCCAGCTCTGGACTTTCTGAATGGAATGAAGTAAAACCACGGGATGCTAAATTGTCATCAATATTATGCCTTGGTTTCCTAACAGAACATGTTAAGGAAATATGCTAACATGAAGTCTATTTAAGTCCATTTAAAAAGAAACTCTGAAGCAAATCCATTTTTGTAAATTGGATACTGTCTTTCATTTAAAATGGAGAAGAAAAAGCCAAATCTTAAAGTTAACTACCAGCTGATGATGCAACTGTGTCAGCCTTATTTTCCCACTTGCCTTGTAAGCACATGGTGTCCTGCCAAAGGTCTTTCTCATTTTCACCAGCCACAATCTGATATATCAATGTCAAGGTCACATTGAAAACAAGAGAAAGCACTCATTTTTTTTTTACTAAAAGATAATGTGATTAGAAATATAAGTTCCTTGATAAGACAAAAGCAGGCCAGGCACAGTGGCTCACACCTGTAATCCCAGCACTTTGGGAGACCGAGGCGGGTGGATCACTTGAGGTCAGGTGTTTGAGACCAGCCTGGCCAATGTGGTGAAACCTCATCTCTACAATAAATAAATAAATAAATGCCAGGCATGGTGGGGCATACCTGTAATACCTATAGTCCCAGCTACTCAGGAGGCTGAGGAACAAGAATTGCTTGAACCCAGACGGGGAAAGTTGCAGTGAGCCCAGATGGCACCACTGCACTCCAGCCTGGGTGACAGAAAGAGACTCTATCTCAAAAAGAAAGAAAGGAAAAAAAAGAAGCAAATATTCTATGGTAACTGATATAAATCTAACGAAAATTCTTCACAGTTCTATAATGTGGGTATCATGTCTTTTAAACAGCTTACTTAGTTTTATATTAGGCTTTTCTTGTTGTTTGTTTGAAACTGAAATTACTCCCTTAAAAATAAACTCAAATGATTTTCTAGCTGCTTAAAAAGACAGTAGCTAAAGAAATGTCTTAATCAGGTCATAACTAATTCTAATAAAGATGAAAATTTACTAATAAATTTAAAATAAAAATTTTCAGAAAAAAACATCTAAAAATAGTAACCCTGAAACATAAACTGTATTCTACAGGAAGAAAAAACCACCCAAGGTAAATCTTATATGGGGTAAAATATTTCGAATGAGAGATCAAAACTACTATAAATCAGCTTTTAATATTCTGAAAGATTTGTGCTAAATGAAGCAGACAAATGTTTTAAATGTGGGACATTATTAAAAATCTCAAATTCTGCCATAAAACACTGAAATGAAATAGTCTTGAGTATCAAACCTCAGAATATGTTTTTACATATTACATATTACAAACCCTAGATGTAAATATTCTCATTTAATTTAAAATGTTCACTTACAAAGCAAATATTTTTTAAAATTCTATTTTAACATATTCAATTCTCATGTTATTTAAGAAATACAAATTTGCCTAAAGAAACTATAAAGAAATATAA